AAATCGCCGTAAATGGGTGCTTCGCGAGCGATTGGCGAGCTCGAGGCCGTTCCCCTTGGGCGGATCCCGCGCCCCTTCCACGTCGACGGGGTCCAACGGCACCACAAAAGGGGATCGCCGCGGCATCAGACCCCCCCCGGTGGGCCCGCCTTTGCCCCCAGTCCCGTGCACCCCGGTCGCGTTTGTGGAGGTCAGCGGGTGGCGAGGGATGGACGGGGGGCGACGACGAATATGCATCCCCGAAAATAACTCCTGCTGCGGTTTTTTGTACAGCTTCCCGGGCTCCGTACTTCCCGGGGGTTGACTTCGATAGGGCAGTAAGGAGGAGAGCCCGGGCTTGTGGCTGAGCTCACCGTCGGAAGGGTTGCCCGTCGTCGTCTTGGGCGTTTCCGCGACGGGGTGGGGTTGTAAAGGGGGTTGCTGCTGAGGCTGAGGCTGAGGCTGCGGCGGCCCCCCGCCCCCTTTGCGTAGATTACTCCAAAAACTCAAAAGAGCCTCCTTCCCCGACAACGAGTTCTCCGTATGCCCTTCATCGGTGTTGAAGCTACTGGATCGGTTGCAGGCATCGGGGTTGTGGGTGAGGTGATTAGGGGGGAAGTTGGACGAGGTGCAGTTTTTTTTCTCGCGCTTTGGAAGGTAATTCGCGCCGTTTTCTTTCGCGTTGGGCGGCTTTTTGAGCGTCTGAGAGGCCCCTCCTTGGGAGTCCTGGGGCGTACCTGAATTCACCGAGGTGGAGCCGGCGGCGGATAGATCCTGGCAAAAGCTTCGTCTTTGCTTCATCGTATGTAGAGTCGTTGTTGCTGTATGATTTTATGGAACTTTAATCTTGCTTTCTATCTTTTTAAAATTTTGTATTATCTTGCCTTCTATTACTTTATAATGGTAGGCCTCTGGCGTGACTCCGAAAAGCCCTTTTTTTTTCGCCAAAACCTCTTTCTTTTATGGAATTGGGAAAAGGTCCAAAGGGAGTGATAGGAGAACCTTGTTAGCACCACACGCACTCGCGTCGTGAAAAGCCAAAACAAGTCCTATACACGATCCAAACAAGCAAGTCGTTACAAGTAGCCTAAACTAAAAAAGGGATTGTACCTCTTTCCTACCATGTACATCACACATATATCGAAGAAAGAATTATCAAAAAAAAAACAAGACATACAGAGGGATGATGAATAGAGAGCCAACGAAACCACAAATCAACTCGCACAGGAATCAGGGAAACAAAGACGTAAACCCCCAACGCTCCCCATGTACATTGGGGAAACAAACCAATACTTCGAAAATACCTATGAGGTCATTTCATGTTTTTTTTCCTTGTCCAAGAAAAAATGTTCCAGAAGATTCACCAAGCATTAAAGAAGAAAGCAAGCGCTCTCCATTCATCAGATTTAATTCGTTTTCTGTGAAGACTCAAAAAATAAAGAGGATAGGTTAATTTCAGTGGGAAAAAAAAAGGCCCCTTCAAACATTCGTGCGGGCGTCATTCTTCGCCATACCCGCACATTCGTGATTTCCTACGGCATATACTGCACCTCCTGCGGGGTGACGACCTGTCGAAAAGCGGTTTTCAGCTGCTCTAGCCTCACACGTTGCTCATCCGTAAGCCAGCGCTTTTCATCCTCGGTCATCTCACGCGTCGTAACACCCGAAGAAAGTTGCAGGACGTATTCGTACCACGATCGGTAGAAAATAGAAGCCGCCACGTGATCAGCATCCGTATGGCGATGAAATTCATCATGGACAAAGCGGTTGCCGAACTCGCGCTGAGCATCGTTCAGCAGGTACTTGAGCACGAACCGATCCATCAACGTCACCTTCGGCGGGAGGTTGCTCTCAGGAAATTTTAAATCCCCCGTGGCGTCCTCAGACGATTTGGACATGGATGAAGATTCAGGACCTTTGGTGTTCTTTTCATCCATTTCCTTCAATGCTACCTTCTCCCTCGCTGTAGTGGTGGAGTCTGCTCCCGGGTTCGCCCCCACAGCCTTAGCAAGGCCACAGGGCTTCGACTTTTCCAACGACACCGCCACCGTTTTGTTATGAAGGCGAAGAATAGCACGATACAGAGATACCATCGCGAGCCGCCACTCCGGCGATTGATACGGAATCTTCTCCAGCTGGGTTGGATGCAAAAGAGATGCTAGGGAGAGACGTAGGTATAGATTGGTGCTAAGCTGAATGTTATTCATCACGCTCGCGGCGTCGTCGCCATGGGATTCCCCGCCTCCAGACGGTTTCACTTCGCGTCTGTGTTTCTCAAGCGCGGAATGCCCTTTGACGGTCTTTGAGAAGGGTCCATAGCCTACTGTACCCCTTTCAGCTCGACGGATGGCGGTACGATCCATGCATATTTGTTTTTGCCAATTAGAAATCGAACGACGCATTATTGCGTGCGTACAGATGCTATCGGTTGCTATATCAATCCAAATAAACCTAACGATAGAAAGAAATATTTGTCGTAGTTAGAGTATTATCATTAGTGTTAATTCGCCTTGGGTTCTCCACCTCCGTTTGCCTACCCTAAATCTCTGACAAAAGGTGAAATCGACACCCGCACATAGCATAGCCAAAGATAGCGCAACTATTTGACAAACGGTCAAAAGTGAAATAAGACGAAAAGAAAGCAATTTTTTCCTTCACCCCAAAAAGTATTGTCATCTTCTTCTGGGAGAAAGAGTGAAAAAAACATGGACGCTATGCTTTCATTTACTGTACATATATTATTATCGACGGATAGGGCAACACGGGGCCTTGCCGTGTCATGCTTTATCCATGAGTAGTGGTTATGCATGAATTCAAGCCTCAACGAGATGATCTTTTTGAGAAAAAAAAAGACAAAATCGATTCGCTTGGTTGAAGTGGTTTCGTCGTTGAGAGCATCCACGACCGAGGAGGAAAGAATCCAAGGCGTCGGATTTCATCCACCCATCGCCCTCCGCTTCAGCAGATGATCAACCAACCAATTACGACGCCGGGCTGTACGACGCCACCGCGGTGCGTTCGAGCGCGTGCGTGGACGAGCTCGTACTACCCCGCGCGTTTTGCACGAACGGAACGCTGGAGGAGCTCCGATTATCCGGCGAATGCCCCGATTCGCGATGCATGAAAAGACTAAACGAGGAGACACTCCCGCCCGCACTCTCCGTGGAGTCTCGCTCGACCAGCGCGGGAAGAAGATGGGTCGGCTTGGAGATGGGAGTTCCAATACGAGTGATATCAATATGTCGCTCCCGCCAGATGCGATACACACACCTCGCGTTTTCCATGCGTTCCTTACACACCGCGTTGCGTTCTCGCGCGAGGACGGCGCGCTCGGCGGCGAGCTGATTCACCCGTTTCGCAACCGGCAATGTGGTGGTATGGGGGTTCATATTTCCTTCCACGATCGCCTTAATCGAGCGCTCCGAATAGGCGTTCTGTAGGTAGATATTCCACATAATTTTCATATTGATTCTCGCCATTTGACGACAATACTGCAGCTCATTTTGATACCGATGACGCACCTCCAGCACGAGATTCATCGTCGTCGTCCAGCTAAGCGCGATGCCGGAGCAGAGGGTGTGTAACGGCTTCCCAAACGCCGGGCGGGAGGGATCGGGAACTACGATATGCATCATTGCAAAGCGATGAATCGCCACATATAAGATGTTCATCGTGTTGATGGAATCCCGCAACCGCACCACCTCCGACGGGCCGTATTGAACCTTAATGATGTGCGAGAAAGGGTCCTGCGTGTTGCGCTGGCGGAGCGGCCATGGGTGGAAACCCCGCTTGTATTCCTCCGTGAGCATCGGATAGAAGAGGGCGTAGCTGGAATCAACGAGTTGCCTCATCGCGTTCAGCGAGTTCTCCACGACCTCGCTATCCTGCCGGATTTGGGTGAGCAGTTTCGCAAAATTGCTGATGCTCGCCACGCTGGCATCCAATAGGTTTCGAAAGGAGTTTAGCTCCTGCATGACGAAGGTGCGAAGCTTCTGCACGCCCTTTCGCAGGTCTTTAATGTTCTTCTCGAGCGTATTCTGCATAACACGCAGGTCGATGAGTCCGCGAAGTCGCTCGATTTCGTTGTCTTTCTCGTTGATAATGTGATTGTGCATGAGCTTCTCCGTCAGAAAGGACTCCCTTAAACGGCGAAATTTTTCGTCAAACTCAACGCGCATCTTCTCCTTCTGAGCCTGTGGATCCATCTTGAGTTCCATCCCGGCGAACGCACCGGGGATGCCCCGCAACTTCTCGAGTTTGTTCGTCGAAACGGAGAAGGTTTGATCGCTTTCCACCGCCAAAAGCGCGAGATCGAGGAGGCTTTGGATCGACGCGACCTCTTGCACGGCCGCGGTTGGATAGGGCTGGTGTTGGTTCATCGCCAGCGATGGGATTGCCGCGCCGAGATCATGCATGGAGCTGGCGTTGCCGAGGGTTTCGCGTGGTTGCGGGTGTGGGGTGTGAGGCGCGTTTCCCGTATAACTCACCATCCCCACACTGGAATGTTTGCCATGCTCGTGGAGATTCCCTTTTCGGCCCGGGTGGCCTTCCGCGGAGGCCGCGTTCGAGCTGTGGACGCCCATATGCGCCGGATAATTCACAGAGAGCATCGTGGACGCGCGGGAAAGCCCCATTGGGAGGCTTCGGCCGACTAAAGAGCCCCCTGGCGGCGTGTGCGGGTGCTCGTTGTGGATCGGCGTGCTATGCCCACTCCCCCGTTCATGCCCGTTATGAAACGAGGTCGCCTGATTCCCGTTGCCGCCTTCCACCATTCGGATGAAAGGGCTTCCGTTATGCGATCGAGGTTCCCGCCTCGGCATCACGAGCTGCCGGCGAAGTAGGTTGCACTCCTGCATCAGCGTCTCGCGCAGGTATTGAATAATGTGCGCCTTTCGCTCCGTATAACTCGATTCCTCCTGCAACTTCTGGGCGAGTGTTTTGCTCGCCTGCGCGGACTCTTCCAGCTCGAGCTTGAGGGCATCGATCTGATCCTCGAGTTTTTTATACTCCGTGAGGGAGATGATTTGGGTGTCATCGGTGATCTCCGTCATCGTGGCGACGTTGACGGTTTGTTTGGCGATTTTGCCAACCGGCAGGGCCGTGTTCGCGTGGGAGAATTGGCCATGAGATTGGGAAAACCCGGAACCCGGGGTGATCGACATCATCGCCAGCGTCGCGCCGGAAAAGGGATCGATCGGCGCCGAATCTAACCGACCCGTTGCCATGGAGGAAGGCCCCATTCGTGAGGCCCGCCAGGTAATCTCGTTCGGCGGTTGAAAGTTCTCCAGCTCCTTACGAAGTCGACTGGATTTGCCATACGTCAGGGGCAGCTGGAGACCCGAGTCGAAGCCCAGAGTGGAGTTCACCTCCAGGGCGGAGTTGGATTGCTCGGACGCGTCGCCTGCGAGTTCGCGATTTCGTTTCACGTACATATCGTAAATCGCCTTGATGATCGGACTGTTTCCGCTGCCGCTTACGCTAAGCGGAGCGCTCTGCATCTGCGATGCCGACAAGGGCCGAGCGAGGTTGCCGTGGGGTTCGAAACCAGACCCCGATGCCTTCTGCAACGCCTCTTCTTGAGAACGATCGAGCTCAGCAATCACCGCGCCGGTTTCCTCGTCCTGCACATAGCGCCCACGTGGGATGAGCACGGGGGTTTTGTTGAACTTTTGAAAAAGTTCTTGCAACCGCATGTTGGGAAAGGTTCCACCCGTGCTGCTACGTTCGGTATCACTCCCCCCCGCGTTCGCGAGTGAGGGCTCCTTCCTTCGCCTGGAGATGTAGGGCAGGGCGCCGGTATCGAGCTGATCTTGGGGAGGGAAAGAAGTATAGGTGGGAATTTCACGCAATAAACGATCGAGCAGCGCGCGAGATTCAAAGACAAAACGAAGGCAGTTCTCGAGGCTGCTGATTTCTGCCAACGCCAGCTTATCCGCGAGCGTTTTTTGCACATACTGAATCACCAGCTGCAAGGGGAGGGGGCAGGGCTGAAGTGCGAGGGATCGCTCCACATCACTGGTGGATATTTTCGACATCGTATCTTCATGCGTGCTGTTTCGCCTGGAGAGTCCAGGGTCCGTCGAGGGTAAATTGAGGCGCACAAGATGACTTACCTTCTTGGTGGAGGAACTCGGGCTATCACACCGACCCTCACTCGCCCCTTTTTCCATCAGACGGGGTGTTCGCTGGGGACTTCGGGTTTGCCCTCTTGATACCTCCGTACTCGACGTCATCGCTTTTTCATTTCTCCCAGTGCTAGTAGATCCCACAGAGCCTTTTCTCGATTCGAATCGACTACCAGTAGGGTACGTTCCGTCCTCCCCAACGATGCTACGAGCAGTGGGGTCCTTCAGTGAATTTTCTTCCTCTCGCCGATTCGCCATTTCCTGCATGTCGAGATCGACGCGGTACTGTTCGTGTAGCGGGATGCGATTTAAATCGTTGTAGTTCAGCTCATGTTGTAGACGCTGCATAATGCGTTGGTAGATTCTATTCATATTGGTTTCTTGATTTCCATTCGGGCTAAATGATCTGGTGTGTCCGCTCGCGGCGCTTGAGGACTCCCTAACCCTTTGCTGGGTGTAGCCAGACCCTAAAATCGGCGCCGTTCCTCTTGAGGTTCTTTGCGAATCATTGGTGTAATCTTTTCCCAATTGTGAGGTTGGCTGATGGGGAGAGGTTGGGGAAAACTCTCTTTGCGACGAATGCGTCATTTGCCTAGTGCTAGTAAAATTGTGGGATTCACTTCGTCTAGGAAGGGTCACTACGGGATGGCGTATGTTCATATTATTGACGTAAACGCGCATAGGGCCCGACTCATCCGACTTCGTGAAACGACATGACCGTTCATAATTGGTCATTGGGTTCCTAAATTTTATTATTTAGCCTTGAACTTCGACACTCTACTTACTCTTTTATTCTTTTTTTTTTTACAATAACAGGATAGATCGTTTTGCTCTGCACCAAAAGATTGCCCTCAAAATGGCCTCAAACACATGTACACAATTGCCTAAAGCGCAAGAGATCAGAAGGAAAGAAAGAGGAAGAGTTAATGCATAGTGGGCGCTTCATTTCTTTTTTTTATAGAGATATCTCTGAGACCAAATTATTTGGAATGAAAAATATTGCTATAGAAATAGTGCAACTTCGCGTACAGTATAAGCTTACTCCATATTTAATGAAGTGTCGCCAGTGCTGAGGGATGGAAAAGTGTGCAAACGCCGTTTTCGGAGAGAGAAAGCTAGAAACATGTATGCAAAAGTAAATTAAAGGTAACCCAAGCTAACTATTGACAAAATGAGCGATATTCATATCATATGTAGCTTTGACTTCTAATTATTTTTACCATTTCTAAATATTTTGGTTTCTTTCCTAAACGACAGCGTAGTTACATTTTTTTTTTGTAAAGGTATTGCACATCAGCTAAGTAAGAATTTACATCACACAACACTTTGAATAATGAAAACACAAAATGGGTTTTCTTGTTACCAACTTTTTTGGAAGGATTCATGGATTGCCGGAGTAGATAGCGAAGGGGTTGAGGAAAGAGAGAGTATGAATCTCCTCGCCCAAAATATGCTGTGGTGCCAATTGCTAGATGTGTTGTAGCATTTCAATAATATTAACAACAATGTAAATAATAACAGTAATAATATACATAAGTATACATATATTCTCCTCTTCATCAAAAACAACCCTTTAAAAAGAAAATATAAACCCATAAAGATGGAGTTCCACTAACCATTTGGTAGTCATATTCCATAAAAGTAAGGGATCGGTTTTGATGAAACACGAAAAGCGGAGAAAATAGGCAACATTAAAAAAACCGCCAAAAAGTGCTGAACGCATTCTAGATATTGATACATAATTAATGGTTGACACTTGAAAAAAGGCACATCAGATCACCCTTCGACTCCACAGCATTTGTTACTGAGACAAAATGAAAAAGTTTTTAAAAAAATTAAAAGAAAAGAGGTAAGAAAAAATGAATATCAGACAAAAAGTAAACAGCCTATTGCCTTGTTGTGGGGCGCGTGCGTAGCCGAGAGACAAAATACGCTTTTTCACCTCCGTTAGTATGCGCACGTCCCTTTGTAGCACCCACCCGGGGCAGCTCGGTATTATTTAATACCGCTACTGGGTTCCCTTTGGAGTCATTTCGCCATGTGGCGCCCTGGCGTGTAGGTGGGGGGGCCAGTGTAGGAGGCTGCTGTAGAGCCGGAAAACGAGTGGGTCCTTGACCGACGGCAAACCGAAAGAGACCATCCGCCGGGCGATCCGTAAAGGCGTAGCGCTGTCCACTCCCTCCTTTTGATGGAAGAGAATTTCTCCTTCCGACCGCATCGCCGACGTGCTGGGGGCCGACCGAAGCAGCTGAAGAAGGTTTCGAGGCCGCCATCCCTCCTTCATGCCCAACGCTCGCCGCAGCCTGAATTTGATCCTGAACGCCCGCGGGAAGCTCTTCCGGATGCAAACGACCGCGACTTATCGCCGCATTGGATTCCGTGCCAAGCCGCCCCATCGTATCAGGATGTTGCCCCATCACCTCCTCGATGGAAGGGGCGTTGCGAAATTGACTGATGTGCAGCCTCTGGACGTCGAGCGCCCGTGCGGTTCGCAACGAGCTGGCGGTCGATTCCCCTCTAGGAGAAGGCTTCGAATAAACCCGAGAAGAGGTCCGCTGCTCTATACAGGGACTTTTCTGAGAGTCAAAGTCGGTACTATTCGGGTTGGGATTATTATAATACCGCCATGAGGATCCCTTGGATTCCGCATAGGTACGAGGCGGCTTCGCATGGGGGTTCAATCGGTACCTCACGTAGGATTTATCTCCACGCCGTTGAAGGGGCATCATCCGCGTACCATCCCCAAAATCGTATAAATGGTTGTACTGCAGCAGCAAGGCGTCGCCAGGGGGCCGGTGAGGTACAAAAAACCCTTTACTCTTGTGATTGTAATAGATATGATCGGTATCCCCTTCCACACGGGCATGACGTGGGTCTCTTAGCTGGTTGGTTTTCGTTTTATTCAGTAACTGATAGACCTCACTGTCTAGTAGGGCTTCCTCACGTCCCATATGGGGGGTGGCGCTCTTCCTGTGAGTCTGAGAGATATGTTCGCTGCCTCCGCTCGTCGCCCTACTGGTCTCCCGCATTTTGGACTTATGGCTTAGAGGACTATTATTCGTCCCACGGGCCGATCCCGGGTACGTGTACTTGTCTCTTAGAGAGGATCCATTTCGGGTCCGCGAACGATCCTGAGACATCCCATACTCCGAAGGCATATACCGGCCGGGCGCGTGAGTTCCTTCGCTCCTTGAATAAAGGCTCCCACGAGGAATCAGACCAAAGGCAGGCGCTTCTCCGTAGAAGGTATTGTAAAGCGCCGGTTCGCTCAGATAATTGGCCGACAGCAAAAGACGAGAGTAGGAACCCTCGACCATACGGTTGACGTGACTGTTGTCCGCCCCACGGCGGAACTCCACGAGGAGCTGCGCCGTGCTACTGGCGTCCACGGCGGCTCGGGCAAGCGAATCGTATTCACTATCTACATACACAGGCTCACGAAGATGTTGCTGGCTGAAGTGGTTAGGCTGCTGTGTTTGTGATGGAGGGGCTAGGACATTTATCGTCTTTGCTGGGGGAGAATTCTCCGTCTCGATGTTCTCAGAGACCACCTTCAATTGTTTTGCAGTGAATCTAGGCGTTGCCTCTCCGCTGTCAACCTGTTGTTTAGGAGAGGAGCCGAGTGAAGAACTTACTACATTGGGTCGACCGACAGCAGGTGCATCTAATGCAGGCTCCAAAGCTTCCACTTGATCACTCACTGGAGGGCTGTTGTGGTCATGCTTTAGGGGCTCAACACCCCCTTCGGGCTTTGCGTTGTGTTTGAGAGCGCCGGGCTCCGTTGAGGGGTAAGTTCGAGCGAGCGAATCCTTTAAAGCATCATTGTTGTGCTCAGGCCTGTTTTCAATTGCAGAACCGGCAAGTTTCGACTCGAGCAGCATGTTCTGTTGGGAGGACTCAATTATGTTTTTATCAGCCTCTGGCTCTAATCTTCGCGAAGATGTTTGATCGCGTTGCAACGATTCGACTTCCTGTATAGCAATACCTTTATTTGTAGTTTCGTCATCCAATCCTGCGTTGGTATCCAGATTTTCAAGTTTCCTGTCTGAGGCAGCCTCGTCAACATTAGCTTTCTCGCTTACTTCTAACAGCTTTTGATGACTCCCTTCTCTATTTATTGTTCCTTCCGTTTCTATATTACTCGTTTCGAAACTGTTTTCGGACTCTTTCGTTACATCGTTAAAAATTCCTGTGTTATCGTCGCTTGCGTCCATTTCCTTAACCCCTTTTGTATATGTATGTATATTCTTTAGAAAATTATCCCACTATGACCAAACATGTATACAACTAATGCAGCAAAAAGGATCAGTGAAGAGAATTGCAACGCAAGAAGGTATCACTCAGAACCTAATCGGAAAGGAGATCAAAAAATATTAATAATGTATGCCATTACGTGTTCATCTTGCGGTGAAATTCTTCCTTCGAAAAAAGGATTTCATTAGCACCGTGTATTTACATTAGAATTGACATTTGTTTCACCTTCTAGCAACTCGCTCATGCGTGCATTCGTTTCTTTGTTATGACCTTAGTTTCCTTTCTGGGCGGAATTCCATTGTCGCCCTTTTTTCTGGGCATTCTCCGTTTAGGTAAGGGAAGCAGTCTTTGAATGCAATACGATATAAATGTTTGCTGAATAACGTACAGAAGCACGTCCAGCAGTTTTCCGTGTCATTTGTCGTCACTGTAGATTCATAATGAAATCAAGAGAAAAGATAAACAAGGAAACCAGACAGAAACCACATCGAATATGCGGGATACACATGTAAAGCTGGTATTTCACACAGAATACAGGGAGTCAAAGAGGCAAGCTTCGAACAAGCTTGACATCCTCGTCGAGCAGGCGCGCTGCCAGTTTTGTTTTTTGCGTCAGGCGGGCTTTTTCAATAGTCCGCCGTGCTTCATGAAAGGCCGCTGCTGCCGAGTCTTCATCGCCGCGTTTGTGGGCTGCAGGAAATATCGCGATGATGTTCTCCGGATGCACACATCTAGAGTCGGTGGAATTCCCTTCTACGATCTTCTCTCGCACGTCATCAGCGCCTTGTTTATTGAGTGGGGCGGGTGCTGAGTCTGCATAGAAAGGCATTGTAGAATTCACCCTTTCTCTACTCGCGCCACTATCGCTATCCTGCGGAATCGACGTATAGGAGGGCGTAAGACCCGTTGGGTAGATCAGACTCCAAAGCCCAAGCTCAATCAAGGAATGATCCAAAGGCTTGGGAACTAAAGCACGGCCTGCTTCTGCCTGTGCACGCTCTCGTTCACGATCTGCAAGGGCCTCACATGCCGGACGAGTTGGGGAATTGGTATCAAAGTTATACACCCCTCGACCTTTTCGCGTTCGAAAGCGCATGGAAAGCGGGTGAAGACGACTCCCAAGAATCCCAACGGGCGACTGCACAGATTGTTTGTTTCGGAGTCGACCACCTTGATTTTTGAGCGTATCGCGACCTTCCTCGGGGGGTTGAAAAGATAAATGCGTGGGAGAGGTGAAATGCCGTCGGCCGCCATTTCGGGTGTTGAAGATGAAGTTTGGAACCCCCAGAAGACAAGGTCGCTCGCCGGTTAATTTGGCGGCGATGCCCTGAGTTTCGATGTGTATGGAGTCCTCTTTCGGTTGTCGGGGGGGGTCGTGGAGTTCGGGCGAGAAGGCCCTTTGAGGCTTCCGAAGGACCTCCGGCACGGCCGGGATCGGGTGTAAGGGCGTCAGAGCACCCGTAGCGATCAGGGCGTTGTTCAAGCATCCGGAGTTGAGCGGAGCCGGGGCGTAACGCCGACCGAGTTTCCGTCCGAAGAACGAGCGTAGATCGGCAGGTCGGCTCCCGGGAATTTCTTGATCGCCATATGGTGGATAGTAGTTGGACTTGGTAAACGCTATACTGATGTCATCTCTCATTGGGAAATACCTTTTCCCTCTTTGGATCCGCTTTTCTATCTATAGACACAATCTAAACAACAAAAAGGTAAAACAACCGCGTCACATCATGCGGGAAGAGTAATATAACAAAGCGACAAATCCGATTAGTTTGGTTTCATGCAAATGCCAGTCAATGATTTTCCTTAGTACTTTTGGTTTATTCGGATACATTTCTATATTCGATATAAGTGATTCCTAGCAATACTACAACGAATATGGGGAAGGATGTGAATGAAAACAAGGTACAAACATACCTAAACATAAATCAATAAAACTGAGATCATCACACAATAAATATCTACGTTTTACGCTGAACTGTTGCCACTCCCTAGCTGTTAAAGGCATCCAGCGAATGTGCTTTTCCTAGGATCCTATAACAATGTTACTCCTACTACGTCAAATGTAAAAAAATATATATATATCGACGACAACAGCGAAGATAAATCAAATCTGAGAGAATCGTGTAAATACGCCTAGACTAAGGAAACTGTAATATTTGAGTACAGAAACGCGATTATGCATAGATATCTTGGCACTTCTTCGCTAGCTTACCTTGAGCCATAGCATATTTCGATCAGATCATGTTAAACATTTCCTCTCCTCACCTTGACTGCTCTTCTCCTATTTACTTCCTTTTCTTTACCTACAATCCCAACTGACGAATGGATGGAAAGGTGAGCATTTCACCATGTCCGTAGAAAGATGTTGGGTGACTAAGCATCATATCTATTACCTCCTTAACGTCTGCAATACTAACAGATTCGATGGCCTGCAAAACCTCATCAAGACTTATCACCATTGTTGAGTCTGACTTCGAGAATAAACTGTTGCAGAGAAAATCACAGTAGTCTTGAACATTTACGGTATTCTCGTTAAGAAAGGAAACTCTTGCGTTGAGCTTGGCGACATTGACTGCTTCCTGCGACGGGTTTTTCATATCTTGTACTAATTTCACAACATCTAAAAACATTTTCGGTGCCTGTTCAGGCCTTGAGGTGAGTGTAAGACCCAGTAGCCCCGCTGAATAAAAGGTAGTATAAAATGCTTGCACAGCGCTTTGGGCGCGCGCATCGTCGGTGTTGTAACGCAGATCATTCGTGAGCACCACATCTAAGAGTGCCTTGGTGACGAGAGACGAGGCGTATCGCCTCAGTTGCGTACTAGTGCGTCCGAAAGCAAGCCATCCCACCGCACAAATAGTTTCAGTATCCATAAAGGGCTTTGTGAGGATAGCCTTAGCGCGATCCTCGTGATCGTGGAGCTCACCTCCCGTGTACTGCCTTGCTTCCGTGTTGATGTCTACGCCATCTTCACCCACCGGCGCGCTTGGCGACTCCGCAGACGGTTTGGAATCTTTCGAAAGGGCATTCTCGTATTCAATGATTAGGGCATCATGATCGACATTAACGCCCGCAATGATGATTCGGGGAGGGGCGGTGTAGCGGTCATAGTGCTCCCGAAGAACTTGAAATGTAAGATTAGGGGCATTCTCCACGGGCACGTAGCGTGGACTGCCCAGCGGTTCTAAATAAAAAGCAACCCTTTCAAGCGCTAGCTTGGCATACTCGGTCGGCCGCTGCCACCGTAATTCCTTTAATCGTGCATCCGCCGAACTGCTGAGACCATTGACCTCGGCTTCCGACAAGGGCGGTTTGGTGAGGCTCATCATAATGATATCGCGAACCGGGCTCGTCTTGGGCAACGACCACACCCACTTCGACTTTATCTTCGCGCGTTCCTCCGCCGTGCTGTGGGATAGGTCGTAGGCATGCCACTCATCCCTGCGGCAGTTCACATGCAGATTGATATAGTATTTGTGAACCCTAGGGTAAAGCCCGTCACCCCCAGCGGCCCGATTCCCAAGGAGATCGGCTTGTTTGGAGCCGTGCATGGCAAACGCGGACTGCAGCATGGCACCTAAGCCAGGGCAATTGGCGGATTCGAAGACCGGCCCGGCCAGGATATATGCCCCAATCGAAGCCACGGCTCCACCCACATCGTGCGAGATAATCCGGGCACCGTCCTGCAACCGCGTGACTTGCACGCTTTCCACGCCCGTTTTCGACGGGATCGAACCACTTTGGGAATTGGTATCGGAAAGAAACGAGTTTGGCTGTGGGATCGGATCCGGGTTGGAATTATGCTTCAGTCGAACTTGCGCTGTGGCAGATAAGAGCGGCACTAAGGCTAAAACACGGCGAAACATATGATTTCTTTCTAATTGAAGCTTTTTATCTGTTAAATGAGCGAAAATGGGCAGTTTTGATTGTATAAATACACGATGAAAGTGTGAAGCAAAGTGGGGATGCATACTGTAAGCTTGAGATGATAAAACAGCAACACGGACACGGTTCACATGCTCAATACCTGAATATCGATTCCTTACTAGAAAGTCCCACGAGCATTAAGCCTTATAGATTAGCGAAAAATATTACTGTGCAAAAGGAAGAGACTATCAATGCATCATAGAAAGTAGAAATGAGGAATTGAAACTTCCTGACGGATAGGCGAATGGGGGATTCAACAAATTGCTTACTTCTGTTTTCACACTTAGTAGTTAATTTGTAATTTTCCATTGTGTAAAGCGAGAGTTGACTTTGTTGGAAATAGAAAAAAAATGATGTGTTTATTAAATTTTTTGCGACAAGCTCCGTTCCTCCTCAACTTCCTAACACCATATAGAAAAAAATAATTCATTATTTATCTCATCCAAAAAGTAAAATTCCGCGATTTATTATCACTCGAATTTACAGTCAAAGCCACTAGCATACATTTTACAGACTAAAATAGTTAAAGCAAAAAAAAATACGAATGTCTGTAGAAATTCAATAACGATACAATGCTGCTAAATCATGTATCTTTGAGAGTAAATTGACCAGACTTTTCTCCAGGATTCTATTTTCGACGCGTATGCATGATACATTTAAGCATTTTAATCACAATGCCATGTATAGGTAGTAAAAATATCAAAATGTTGTCGTGAGAGTTGATTGAACTTAATTACGCACATAATATTGTTATCTACAACATAGATATTGCAGTGTATATTTAATAAAAATGAAATCGCGACGCGCGTATTCATTTCTAAAGGTTTATCCCTTATACAATGCTATCCATGGTGCATATATCACTTATACTTCCTTTGGGGAAGTACCCAAATTGCTACTATAGCAGCTATTGTAAAGGCAATAGCGGTACTTCGCCAGCGCGTCTTGATGGGTGTCTCTCCCGATTTTAGCTCGCGCCACTCCGAGTCTTTTCCACACTCTGACGATAGCGTAGAAGTTTCTTCCCACTTCTCCAGCATGTTAATGGCATCAGGTGAATGTTCAACTCTTTCGAAGTCCTCTGTTACATCAGAGTTTTCATGAGCTAAAATGATCTCCGCACCGCCTGGATGCTTTTTTAAAATAAATTCTTTAGGAACCAGATAGGACTTGCCCTTATAATACACCCGCACATAGTCGTCAGAGACCTTGGAGGTCTCTCCGGAAGCGCTGTCATGTACGCTCATTTTTATTAGGAATGTGTGATTCTTTTTTATTATTATTTAGGATGAGGGAAAATTAGTGGATAGTGTCTTCGTTGACTTGGGGTTAATTAATTAAATAACGTGATCTATAGAAGTTAAGTGAGAAGACAGAAGGGGAAAAAATATATAGTTATTCAAAAGAAACATGTACTGATCGCCGTCCGTTTTCGCTTCGCCAACAGGAACAGAAAACGATTACCTATTTTAGTAGCAGCTGCTTAGGAATGGCGACCGATGGGACGATCTCCACACGAATCACTCAATAAATTACTGTATTTCGCATACCTTTCCCGAAGAGCCCCCCGCCAATTCATTTTCAGCACAGAACAAAAAACGTAGATAGAAAAGCTACCCTATTCGCGGGCTATTTTCCCCTTTTGAATACTTTATACATATTTATTATTATACTCTAAGAAATTCGTTACTGCTAGGGAGCCATAGTAAGATGAATTGATAATCAGATACAGATGTGTGTTAATCAAATGATTGTTACTTATTATATTGAGAAAACCAATGATAGCAAATTCTCCGTACAAAATGTCACCGCGAGAAAGTAAAGCTATTATATGCCGATTTATGTAGATTGCATACAATATATGCTGTTATAGCTAATTCAAAGATGTGTATAATTAACATCATGAGTTTGCGTTTGAAAGGAAAAATAAATAAAACCAATTGATAACGATCCAAAACCAAACAAAAATATAGAAGAAAAGAGAGAGATATTCATCAATTATAGCAATTCGTCTTGCTTGGTCCTACCTTTAATCTTTTTTGAATTTTCCTTGGAAAAGCATCAGTTGTATGTATTAATGTGTTTCAAATCTATAATACTATTTTCCATTTGCTAGAAAAATAAATTGAGATGATTCTGTTCTGTTTTCATGCCCTTTTACTAAGTCCTGCCACTTTTTTTTGACTTCCTATATTTCCTGTTCTTCAAGAAGTCAGTCACCGAGTTTTCGCTCGTGAGATATACGTACAGATATTTGAGCGTGTGTGTATATGTGGGTGGGTTCTTCTCTGCTGGATAAGCGGCCTACAACCAATCTTCTTTCTTTTCCTTTTCCTTTACCTTCCCCACCCCCTCTCCATCCAAACAAAAAAAAAGCTTACCTTGAAGTATGTAAGTTTATGTAAATTAAATAACAATAAAAAGGAAGTGAGAAAAAGTATGCGAACGTAAGAATACAAGGGAATAAATGAAGAAAGGGGAGAGCTATATAATATGGATTGTGATGAACGAATATATTGAGTGGAATTATTTGAAATTTGAAAAATAGAATAAGAAAAACATCCTCAGAGATATAAAAATTCAAATAGGAAATCATACCTAAAATTATATAGATATATTCAAAGTATGCAACCAAAACGTCAACCAAACCCAAGAAAAAAAACATCCACAATGACCATGCTAAACATTATTTATTGATTTAAACCAACGCTGCTATTTTCCTCTAATTATTTCGCTTTCCGATCATGCTGTCAAGCACAAGCTTTGAATAGTATACACGAATGCGTATCTATCTTCCTTCAACAAAGTGAAAATTTTGCTTGATAATCCAAAGCATAAAATATATATATATATAATTTGCCTATTAATATTCCCTATGAATGGAAGTGTAAAGCATTTTCAGCTTCTGTATTCGACATCCCCCATACAGGGAATTTTCTGTTACGCTTGTTTGTTTGAAAATATTACCCTTAATAATATCAGTAATGATTCCTTTTTCTACATTAGAGAAGTTTCGAAAAATAGCCACGCAAAACTCTTCTAGAAAAGTATGTATATATATATATATATATATAGTAGGTAGATATTATCTATGTATATGTGCATATACAAGAGGGTATAATTTCGACAAATCTTGCATATGTTAGCTTCGATTATTTCCTCTTGTTGTGTGAAACCCGATTGGAGTAAAAGGAATAATAAATAAATAGGAAAAGCACTAATGTATGACAAATCTCAGGAAAGCTATATATTTCTAAGTTGCGTGTTTGAGTGGATAATGATATGTAGAAATGTTTCAAAAGAGGAGCACCAATATATATATATATATATATATATATATATATGTATATTAAGACAGTTATCGTTACCTTCCCATGCATTATTTTTCTACTTCCTCGCTCGTTTGGCGGGCACCTTCTTGGAGGTGGCCACCGGACGCTCACGTTTTTTTGGATCGGGCTTCACCTTTTTACTGACTGACTTTTTCGGCGCCGCCTTGGCGCTCTTCTTGCCGCGTTTTGCCGGCTGTTGCTCTTCTTCGTCCTCAACCTCCGACTCCGGTTCCTCTGCCGATGCCTCCTCGTCTTTGCTGTGCTCGGTAGGGGCCTCACTCTCGTCCTTTTGGACGGTATGGCTCTCCGGTTGGTCTTTTTCCTCCTCCTTGCTGACAACTACACCCACGGCGGCGGTGGTTTTTTTCTTCTCCGCTTTGATCGCCGCCGGTTTCTTCCCCAGCTCCTCCATCTGCTTGGCCTCGTGGAGGGAGGCAGGGGTGAGGGCCTCTTCCGGATCTTTGCTCGCGGGCTTTGGCTCCGTTTTCTCCTCCGGTTCATCGTGATCGCTCTCACTACTTGCTCGGGAGGGGGAGGACGCGGAGGAGCTGCTGCTGTTGCTGCTGATCTCACTCGAGCTATCCTCATCGTCGCTGTCGGTTACCCCGATACTCGTGATATTCGTCACGTTCTTGGTGGATCCTGAGGTGGGTGGAAGCGCCCCAATCGCGGAAGGAACCAACCCCGCTTTCTTGCTCCCGGCGAGCGGCGTCATGCCGGAAGGATCGGGGGTTTTGGCCTCCTTCGTGAGCCCCGCGGCGGGTGGTATCCTCTCCTCGTGATCGTTGCTGTCATCGCTGAGGTTGTCGAGTTGTTTGGGCGAGGCGTCGTGGGATTGCGCGAGGGCGGAATCGTCCCCCTCGCCGAGCGCTCGCCCGCGGCCGGGCTGCGGTTTGGTCGGCATCCGGCCCTGCCGTTGGCGTTGACGGGCCTCCCGCTCCTCCTCGGCGGCGCGGAGGCCGTCTTTTTCCTTTTCGAGGATCTTCTCAATCAGCTGGTGCCGTTCCTTCTTCGTCATCGCCTTCAGCTCGACATGACGGGCCGCGATCAAGCGCCGAAGCTGCTCCTCCGAGTGGTGCTCGTGCAGGCAATTCGTCCGGGAGCAGTACCCGTGAATCAGAAAGTGAGTGCAGATCTGCTTTTGGAAGAGCTCGACCGGTTTGCTGTCCTTGACCTCCGCGCCTTGGGCTTTCAACATCAACACAATCCCACCTTTACAAAATACATATTTCAAATCCTTTTTGTTCTCCGGAACGGGGTGCTCGCGGAGCCAGACCGTCATGCGCGGCCCGGGCATGGTCGCACACACCAGCGTCTGCGAAGGGTTCGTATAGGTCCGGAGGATCTCCTCCGGGATCTTCACTTTGATCTCAATCGGCTCCGGTTCACGACGGGTTTCGCCGTTATACGGTCCCACCCGGTTCGCGCTGTTCGCGGACGCCGGGTTGGGGCTATTAGGGTGCCCATAAGAGCCTTGAGGCATCATCATCACAGGGGGGAGCATGTTATTCGGGAAGAACATATTCCCAGGATTATTCGCCGCGCTGTAGTTCCCATGCGCCGCACTCCCCCCGGCGACCCCGCCTAGCATCATCGTGGTCGGGTTAAACGACGATGGCTGCGCCGACGGCATCCCCACCCCCATCATCATCATCATCGATTTGTTATCCCCCATTCCATTTTTACTGCCATAATTCCCCATATAATTCGCGGCCTGGGCCCGGTTATGATAGCGATTCCCCCCACTCGCGCTAGGGCCCCCTATGTTTCCAAGAACGCCTCCCAAGGAGGTCGACAGCGACGCGGCCCCGGGATCGATCGAGGCGCCCGTGTTCAGCAGACTACTGGGGATCATCGGCTGGGGTTGGGGTTGCGAGGGGGGGTGTTGTTGCTGGCGTTGTTGAAGCAATTGGGCGAGGAGGTCGGTTTGCCCGATGGGGTTCGGGCTGCTCGTGGGTTGCGGCGTCGGCATCGCCGCGTGTGGCTTCTTCGCGTCGTAGCGACGCTGAAACAAGTAGTCATGGTCCGCGTGGCAGGCACGACGGAATTCATTAACCGCTACCACGACATCCTGCACGGTTTTGCAGTTCGGACTCACGGCGGCCTGCCGAGGATCCTCCACGACCTGGATAGGATAATCATAGATGTAGAAGGACCGCGCGAGCTCCATCGACGTTACAGAGGTGAGAATATGAACTGGCTTGTTCTCATGGGGGGCAGCTTTGTGGGCAGGAACCCATACCGTTCTCCCGCCCGTAATGTGAAGGAATATTTGATTCGAGGTCATTATTATTATTGTTATTATTAGAACACCTTATTTCACTACGCTACGCGAATAAATGGGAGGTTTATCTAAGAATAAGAAAAAATAATACTTTTGATAACAAAATGACTATAGGGTAAACGGATGCTTTTTATTTTATTTTTAGGCTAGACTTTTGTTTATTTTCGCTTCCTCTTAAATATCGATATTCATTCGTTTTTCTTGTATGCAGAGAGAAAGCGTTGAGTCAATGAATCCATAAAGGATGCACTTAAGAGAGCGATCGCAGAAGTAGCACAGAATTATTCGGTTTGTAAATCGTGCTATCTTTATTCTCGGATTCCTCCATACAATACTCCTGGAGACTCACAATATCGGCAATAATCGGTTTCACAAATTCCATCACATAGAGGATTTAAAAAAAAACATCTATAGATGATCTGTGTATGGGTTACCATCATCACCTGACCGCTGAAGGCTAGGCTCGCTTAGAGGGTGAGGTTCATGTTTAGCGGTCAGACCTCTAGAATCGTACTCCGCAGGTCCATCGCTGACATTTTCCTCGAGGGCGGGCAACGGCCCATTCATTGCATCGACCTCTGGTTGAGTCCCCACATGGGTATCATCAAGGAAAGAGGAATTTCTCTCACCACCTTTCATCTCTTCAAGGACGTTTAAGCTATATGACGGAGCGCACTCCTCGGGCTTCCCGTCGCCCTCGTTCAGAGGATCCACCTCCATAAGCTCCAGCTCACGCTGCGCGGCTTCCACGCGATCCAACTCCGCCTGCGCCTGCACCTCCTCCAACTCCATCAGCTGAGATCGGAGGCGGTGGCGTTCTTCATGAGAGGTACGCAACTCCCGCAGCCGCGTGTGGTGTTTCATCCGCTGATGCATCTCAAACTCCGTGATGTGCGCCACCGCCTCTCTTCCACAGCGCGATAACAACTGGAGGGTGTCATTCATCGGCAACTTCACAAAGGTCATGTGATTGAATTCGTAAAGAAGGTGGAGGAAGGCATCGAGTTGTTTGTGGTGATAGTTCCGAATCACCTCATCGGATTCGGGATCGCCGTCTTTCGGGGCCCCGGCTTCGGCCTCGTCTGGATCCTTGGCAGATTTCTCGTTGGTTTCCTCTGCCGCTATGCCTTTCGCCTCCGAATAACGTTGGCGTACCGCGTCGACATTGAGTGGAGGATACATTAGGATGGGGTTTCGCGCCACCATCGCGTGCAACTGTGGAAACCCGCGTTCGCCGAATACCACTTGCTTAAATCGCTCGAGGCTGTAAATATCCCTACCCCGTTTCCGAGAGCCTGCCCCGCCACCAGCAGCAGGATTGGACTCGAAAGGGGCTGAAGAGGTATTTAATGGGGGCATGGTGGTTGCCTTCGTCTGGGGCTCCTCGGCGAAGGGAGTTCCCGAAGGCTTGCTTTTATGTGTGAACATACCCCTTCACTTGAGTTCTCTATGATAATGGCGTCCTATATCTATCTCTTCCACCTCTTTTGCACTTCCTATCTGCAAGATTCACACGCCGATATATATATTTATATAGGTCAAGATATATTGATATCAGAAGGAGAAAGCACACCCAATAAAATATGGAACAATCATAACACCACAAAAAGCATTTTTGGGTGCATCACCAAATATGTACAACACTGTTACCTGATATTTGAAGGATTAGTCTTTTTCTCTCCGCTACACCTTAGCTCTTGGCTGCGCTTCTCGTCCGCTCGCCATCACAATTCCCACCTATCGGTAGCGTTCTTTCCACCAAAGAGACCAGCCCGCAAGGTACGAAAGTTGAAGTCATCATTCGGTGATCGGTCCGCCTTCGCAAAGAGGTAGGGGTCTTCTTCCCATCGTTCATATCGCCGCGCGTCGTGGTATCCGGCGTCGTATGCTTGGAGAAGTTCCTCCCGCCTCTCCCTTCCGAAAGTTGGCAAAAAAGCCAACAACACCTGCTTTACAAAGGAGAAGTGCGTATTCCCGAGGTAGCCATGCTTACCAATTAGGATGTTATGCCGCGTTTGATAGCGATTATACCGCATGCCGATGTAGCCGTGAATATAGACATGCCGACAGCACTGATCGAGCTCGCTACTCAACGACATCATCGTTCCTCGGAGGACGTTGTGGGCGTCGCGAAAGAGCATCGGCTTCCGCGTATTCGGCGCGGTTGCCACCAAGATGTTCTGCGCTAAATCCTCCCAACTTTCCCATTGGGAGATGTGATGCCCAAAGTGGATGTTTTCCTTTCGCTGCTGCATATAACCCGGGTCCTTATTCGAAAACCCAATCGTGAGGGCAAGGCGATCCCCAATCAGATCCAACGCGTTTGCCGGTAGAAAACGCCGAATCCCTTGCATCATCACCTCGATTCGCTTAGCCTCATCGGTAACGGCGAAACGGTGATCGACGATAAAATCGCGCAGTTGTTCAATATTCACGGCCTTCGGACCGCAGGCTAAGGCGAGCGCCGGGAGCACCCCCGAACCGGCACCTAATAAGAAGCTCTGAGCGAGTAACTCCTTTCGCTCTTGCTGGAGATAAAGGGCAACTCCGAGGGCGTAAGTTACCAGGAAGCCACACCCCCCGAAGCTGAGAACCACCCTGGGGGCCGTTTTACCGATTTCGAGAAGGGATGGCGTTTTGGCGCGGACCTTTTGGATCCATTCGTTCGGGTCCGTCGCAGTCATGCGCTATAATGAAAGAACAAAATTTGTAGAAAACGAACGGAGTTTGACGGTACCTTGAATTTACCTAGCCGAGCAAATCCACCACTACGATGTGGACCCTTAAAGCAATCGCCTCTAATTGGAAAAGGCAACGAAATGGAAAAATCACTGAATTGCTTGCAAAATAAAAAGTTTAAAAACACAACATAGCTCCAATGTATGAAATAAGGCACTGTATTTAGAGCTTCGCTAGCGTCGAATGCGATCAATTGGAAAAAATAATTATCGAGCTTTAAACGTATCTTTTTTCTTCATCAAATTCACTGTGAATTGTTAGTTATACCGCCTTTCATCCCTCGACACACCAGCTTGACGAATTATATTTCATTTTTTGTTGCACCTTTGTCCTGTAAAAGCTCTGCGACTGCTATACAACTCTTATAAATGAGAAACTAACGCAAAGCTTCACGACCATTCTTATAAAATCAAAGGGCAAAATGAATCCTAGAAATGCAACGTATTGATTTTCATTGCCGAATCAAGCGCCCGCTGCGTTTGTTCCACCCAGAAGCTTACTACTAATGTAGTTGGTAGTAAGATTTGCCTTTTGAATCGCTTCCGCCGCAGAACGCGATCGGACCACCGCGCGGGTTAGTGAATTACGTGAAACAAACGGATTCACTAGAATGTCATCATCTAACCGAATTGAAGAATGTGAGGAGACGTCAGGAGCGGACTCTGTAATCGGAGCTTCTCGAGTTCCTTTCCTTTTACCCTTCTTTGAAATCGATTCCTCTGCCGTTTTGTTGCTCTCTGACGAGGTATCTTCTGGATGCGCTTCTGCTTCTTCGTCGACGGAAGATTGACCTTCCATGCCGGCATTAGCATCGATCCCCCCGATCGGCATCGAGGCGTTCCCGAAAGTCAGCTTCACTTTCGTTAAATCCACCGGGATGTTGCGAAGAGGATCCATGGCGACCCCAGTATCCTCATCAAAGACGAACCGTCGACCAAGCCCGACTAAAATACTTTCTCGCCGCCGCTGCGCCCGCCGCGCAACCCACGACGGGTGAGGAAGAAGATAATTATACCGCAGCCCGAGTCGCTTTCCCTTCTTCTCGGCCTTTCGGGTGACGAGATTTTCCGATATCAGGTCGATCGGGGAGGGCCCTTGTTGATACCACGCGAGCTTTTCGTCCAATAGGTGATGCAGCTTAAACTCCTTCGCGCGCTGCTCGGCTTCTTCGTATTCTTTGGTGCGGGTTAGGTTTAAGAAGCTCCGGACCTCCTTGCGCGTCATCCCTTCCACGTTCAGGCCGCGCGCCTTGCATTCTAAGAGCGCCTGCTGATGTTTACTGGTGTGGTGTGAATTTTCCGCACCCGAACGATCCCCCTTGGCTTGCGCCCTCTGTTTTTGTTTCGTCTCGCGAGCGATTTTACGATCCGCAGGGGAGTTAAAGAGGTAGGAAAAGGTGAAACCGCGGGCATCGGGGTTGTCTTCTTGACTTTCATTCCAACTACTCGCACCTTTATCCTGCCGTGGACGAGAGGAAGGGGATGAGCCCGATGCGGGGGATTCTTGTGTTTTTTGTTGAAGATCGTCCGCCGTTCGCAAAGCAATCCCGATCGATCCATCCCGTACTCGTTTTAAGGTGAGTCCGGAAATAAAGCTATTCCACTCCGTTTTCCACACATTTTCCCCCTTCTCCACCTTCGCGGCGTAGCGCTTACGATGGACACCATGTGGCTCAGAGGAGGGCATCATTATATCGCATTCGTATAAAAATACTATAGCTAGTCTAAAGATAGGATCAAAGGAAGTGAATTTAAACTAGGTATAGAAACAGAACATTTTTTGGTTGTTCCAACATCATACCCCCTGCAGGTCAGCAAAATGAGATTTAGGCTCATAGACAGCAATAGGGCCAGATAACGATTTCCAGGTTCACATATTTGTTCTGAACATTTTATTGCAGACTCTTCGCGAGGCAATATTTCGAAGCAACCAAGTTCGATTTTTGGGTAAAAAATCCTTTAAAAAATAATCCCATAACATCATCTGTCGAAAAGAAAAGAAAGTATAAAGCCTTCCATCAAAGATAGGACTCCTTTATCATAGCCGACATACACATCACACCATCAGAACGAAATAAAAACTTTGAATCCTCAGTAGGTCCATTTTTGACGAAAAATAATGTAATTGTTGTTTTTGTATTGAATTTATTAGTTCAATAAATAACTTTCCCATTCTTTGGGTTTGTACGAAGGAATTCCCCAAGACTATAGGGAGCCTCCTATGTAAAACATAAGATTGCTACATAATTGAATAAGCATAAGTTTTTCCCTTGCTGGTATGCGTTTCTTTACTTTTAAAATTGCATTTTTCTTTCATTAGTGGCCCGAATATTGAAAATAAAAAATATTCACTGTACATGTCTGAAGATGAGTATAGTAGGTGAATAATTATGCCTAAAAAGAAATAGGCGAGCGATGAGGTTCGTAATGCACACACATGTGATTTAATCTTCAATTTATATTGACCCTGTTAGAAAATACCTACCAAGAAAGAGTTGACATATGCGAGTTTGTCCAGCTTTTATATAGCAAACAACTACTCCAAGAACGAAGATAAAATATTTCACCACACTAAACACAATGCAACATTGAAACTCGCCGTCCCTTTTTGCAAACGCATCTGAGTCCGCTTAGGGAAAAAATAAGACGCCTTTTATAGTAAAAAAAATATGACCCTCACTTGGGCATGAGCGTGTAGATAGGAAACATCCGTAGATAGTACTTCCTATATCATTCTTCGCTCGTCCATCGTATCATTTATCAACTTGTCCTTCAAGAGACAGTAATTTTTGCGATACTATGTGAAGACACCTCAGATATTTACAACTTCAATAAATTATGGCAGGAGAGAGAAAGGAAAGAGAGCAAACTCTATGACTGAAGTTGGGCTTCCTCGCCCTGCCTGGACTCATGGCCATCCGTGAGATTTGGAAGCGTCGTGGTGGTGCTCCGACGATCGGAAAGCGTTGCCGAGCACGCCTGCGCGCAATTTTGTCCGTCCGTGAGGCTATACAGGTTGCTTTCCACCATCGCAGACGTCTTGAGTCGAACCAACTCCGATTCCACCATCTGCTTCCCTTCCCGTGAAAGCTGACAGGCGCTGAGCTCGAGGGTGCGGAGGTGGGGGATGCTCTGAACGATCACCAACAAATCCTCCAAACACGCGTCGGTGAAAAAATTCTGTGAAAGATTCACCACCTCCAGGGTGGGATGATACCGTAGGGCGTGGCTGAGGAGCTGCACCGATCCATTACTCAGCTGATTGCAGCTTAAATCCAGATGACGAAGACGCGTCATGCGGGGAAGCAGCCCCGCCACCGCGCCCATCCCGCGGTCCATCAAAGGAACCCGGGGGAGCAAAAGCTTCGTGAGTTCGCGATCCCCACATTCGTTCAGCGCCTCCAACACCCGCGGCTGGGGTTTGACGTGCTGGGAAAGGCAACACGTGAGATACATACTGCGCAACGACGACGGCCGCGCGGTGATGGAGGCAAAGCTGTCGTAGCTCTTCATCGTCCGCGTGAAACACGCGAGGAGGTCGGCTTTAAAACGGCAAAAGTCGTTTTTAAGCGCGAGCCGATCCCTGGTTTGGCTCTTATCATACTCATGCCCGAAGATCAGCGATAGGGTGTCAAGAAGGAGCTGCATGCCATTATTTCTGTAGCTCTCACCATAGAGCATCTGAAGACGGAAAAAATGATCTCGATAGAGCTCGACAAGTTTATCGTTGGCCTTCTTTTCATCTTTTTCGCCCTTTTCGTTGCTACCTTTGAGATTCTCATTCTGAAGCTCCGAAAAGAGGTTTTTTTTAAGCTTTGGATTACTCGAAACAAAGTGAAGGGAGGTATGTGATTTCGCTCGCCGATCGCCGGCCTTGGATTTGGAAAATTGGTGGTTGGAGGAGCGCCGCAGGCCTGAATCCACCCGCACGGCGGAGGAATTCGTATGCGTCCCCTCTCGCGCATCCATCGGCGACTCGATCTCGGTCACAAAGTCGATAAGAGAATCCCGCTGGTTGCTGAAGGATTTCGTGTCCCTGCTTGAAGAGAGGTTCGTCTCGAGGAGGAGGAGCGGACTTTGCGCGCGTTTGGAATTCAACAACGAGTGGGAAGCGCCCTCCCCGGAGGTGGGGTTGATTAACCGCGCCGGATCGCCATCGCGGGATAACCGCTTCCCCCCTCCATTCGCCGGCCCTGCGCCTCGCCCGGAATCGCCATTCCCCGGGTTCGGATCCCGCCCGGCGGATCCCTTCCCCCCTCCGGTCATTCCCTGAAGAAACCACAAACTCTCTGGGGGTTTCATCGTCCGCGCGGAGATCGGGGGGTGGCTGAGGGCGGTATTGACGAGAGGGGCAAACACGTGCACCCCACCCCCCGATAACGGGGGGAGTGGATTCTTCCCGACGCCGTCATTTCGCCGTCGCGCGCCCCCCCCGACGAGATCCTTCTTGCCATCATGGAGGGGCGAGGACGAGGACGAGGTGGCGGTTAACACCGCCACCTTCCGCGCGATCCCCTCCGGGAGTTCGATTTGATGCGCGCGGAGGAGTTGCACGGTTTCTAAAAGCAGCTTCCCAAACGACCCCGCCAGCCGCTCCACCGTATCCATCGCGGAAAGCTGCTCCGTGAAAAATGCCATCTCGGCCTGAAGCGCGCGCACCAGCCGGGTGAGGTTCTCCTGCGTTTGATAAAACAGCAGTCGGTAGTTGATGCCGCCGTTCAGAAAGGAGCAGAGCTCCTCGCAGGAGGCATAGAGCTCCCGTTCTTCCCAATACGTGCCGCTGCGCATTTTGTTCATAATGGACAGCCCTTCATGCGGGCGATGATCGAGATGCACGGAAAGGGACGGGGGTTTTTCGGAATTTGGATGGCCCCGACCGCTATGCATCCCATGCCCGTTCGCGCGATCCTGGGAGGCGAAGGAGATGCTCGGGAACTCAGTTCGACTCCGATGTGAGGCGTCTCGAACGGAGGTGAAGGTGCCACTGTTCGCGTTGAAGTGGGCGTTTCCGGCTTCGGAGAAGGAATCCATGTGCGAGGCCAGCTTCCGAATCGTGGAGGAGGAGCTATTAGCCTTTCTATTATAATTGGAAAACGATTTATTAATGGAGGCGACCAGAAACTGAATTCTAGCCGACCCAAGAGCTGGTCGCTCGCTCTTAAGTGCATGGGTTTCCATTTTCTACCGAGGAAGAGAGGAAACTAAAGCAGACGTTTATAGATAGATGACTATAATATAAAGCTTTTGGGCTTTGTAATACAGATAGTACATTTTTTCCCTACCAAGTATGCGCAGAAAGGAAGGATACAAAGGTGCAGATTGCATATTACGGAGCCCTTACAGGAAGAAAGACTATGAATCACCCGATGGATAGAGTCAGCTTGGTATTAAACGTTTGCTTTTGTCATATCCATAAGTCGTATGACGGGGTATAAATGTGCAAGCATCGATTGTGAAACCCATGCAAAACATGAAGAATACAAAAGCTCGTTATAGGTATGCATAAGAGATGGTAAACATAGATTTAGTGGGTCATCAGTATCTTAGGATGAAATACTATACATTTACGGTGATCGGTTCGGTGAAATTTCAAAGAGAAAATGAACCTCAAAGCAATGCTCTTTCTCCATTTACAGAGGCTCCACAACTAAATGGATTACTTTACATCGCATGACATGCACATTGCAAATGCTATGTGCACATGAACGTAATATATATATATATATATATATATATATATATATGTGTGTGTGTGTGTTGTTTAT